CTAAAGGTAAGATCCATCCATATCCCGTCCCGCATCTCAGTCCTCGTGCTTTGAATGCTTTTAATCTGTTGTACAAGTTCATTAAAATTTGGTCACATCTAATAGAAGCTTGATGCTTGAAATTGTGGAATATTGAAGCCTTCAGATTGGACGTCTTCTCAAGCCATGTTTTGTGAAGTGTCAACGACATTCGTTACACAGTCTCAGATATATGAACAAGTTCGACAACATACACGGGATTTAAGAGGATGATCTTTGCAACACTCCATTATGGTGGATAAGATCATGCAGTTTTGATTACAGTTTTCATTGCATTTGTATGACTCTGGTGTCATCCCATATAATTCAAAATTAACTCCGCTTCTATATCAAGGATTTCACCACAACATATTCGCCCCCCCCCCCCCCAATCATCTGATTGAGCTGATTCAGAAATCTTTGAAACTTTGAATTAAATTTCTTCCAGATCTTCCACCGCCAGTTTCGACGGGGTATCAAAACCCTTCCTTTTTGAATCCGGTTTCATTCCAAACCACCGGGAGAAAAGAGGAGAGGTTGTTTTGACAATTGGCCGGTTCTCTCAATCGTATTACAGCAAATCAAACCCCTTAACAATCCCAATACCACGGACCAAGCAACGGTTTGTTCCCCACTAGACGTGATACATATCCATTCACATACTCAGATATCTTCGGAAGCTTCCTTTTCGCTACATAAATCCCAAACACATCTCATCCCGATGAAAAACTTCGGGAGATCCAGAAGTTGTCAAACTTTGGTTCGGCTATGTAAGAGAAAGTATCATACTGAATACTCTGACGAGTGCCATACGACAGCGAGATTTATCCATTCAACGATAGCTAATGATGATTTCATGATCGTCACATCTCCCTTTTCCAATCAGTCTCCGTACTCTGCACACAAAAGAATCAACTTCTGCCCTATCCAAGAAGGCACACAAGCCTTACACCACTTACCACTTACCATTAACCAAAAACGGGTAGCCTAGCAAGTTCAAACCCTGCATAAGCGCTCTTCCACGGGTCCGATCATCGGGTGTTTGCTTTCGAATCCAGGGTTCTTTTCAGGGGTAACTTTATCTCGTCCCCAACAATTATGGGTCTGTTTGACGCGCGCACCTTTCGCTGAGTGGAGTATCGTCTAAAGATCATCTAACATATATTGTTTTTGCGCATACTATGGAACATTTGCTTTGACTAGAAAATTCGAATGCAGGAGCAGTGCAGCAGATACGAAGTTTTGAGGATCCCCTTATTCCTTCGAGAAATTCGAGAACAGAAACAGGCTCGGCGAGAAAGGAGGTTGTTCACCGCTAGATGATGGAAATGCAGATACAGATACCGTATGTGGATTGTACCTGCTTGTTCATGTCAAGCCTCCGGCTTGTCGCTACTGAGCGTCTTCCTCTTCCATTCATTACTCTGCTTCAAATCCTTTGATTATTCACTAGCTTCCTCGATTTCAACCTCAGACGATAGCTTCCGCGCGCATATCAAAGCAAAGACCTTCCCACCATTGCCCCTCAGATTTCAAAACCGCAACTCTGTAAATCTCACCAATCTTCGACGACCTCCATCTGCATGTCGATACTTCCGCTCACATACCAAAAGGAACCATTCCTTACAGGTTTCCAATTTAGTACTCCAACTCTTGCCTGCATCTCCCTCGTCGACCCCTCAAATCTTCCCTAGAACCTTAGTCTAAGCTATGTGGCACAGTCTTGACTCATGAACAACTTTCTTCGGCTGAATCTCCCGTCTTGCTCATCGACTACTCCAAAACATCCTACCTTGCGAATTATGGGAGGGATCAAGCTTCTCCGGCTCTACTGCATCCTCTACTTCTCCATCTTCAAATTGATTGCGGCCTATCTACGGCCCGCACTTCGATTGCACAAGCCCGAGTGGAAAAGATACGACCCCTTCGAGCCTTTTCCCATTACCTCCACCTAAAACTCACCACTCCCCCCACCAGTTTTCCAACCATTTCCCATCAAGCGGCGAGCTTGGCTAAGCATCTTGCCTTGTGAAGTCCTTGAGGGATCATGCTTGCTCAACTTTCCACTTAGTCATTTCCCTAGAAACTCTCTTCCCTATTGGAATTACACATCAAGTACGTTTACACAACAGTTCAGGATTTTAGATCACGAGCGCGTATGAGGTCTTTGATCGTCCCGGGCCTGTAGTTGTCCACCTGTCTACTCATCTTGCAATCTCCCGCGCACTTAACCCAGAGAAAGGCTGCTTTGCGAGAACATCTGAAGGATCATGCCTGTTTTTTTGTTCGTGTGTCCATATTTTCGTACACATCTCCACCACAGAACAAAATCACGAAAGATCAGATCACAAATTTAACTCTCGCTTCTGGCGGATTCTAATTCCACGAATACGCCACTCGACCCAAAGGCCATTCCGCGAAAAGGTTCTTCCCTGGTTACTGCACGCCTTGTGATGCAAGCAGCGAATCCCGATATCTACACTTTAATGATCTTCAATATACCCTCCGACTACGTATGACAAGTGAAATTTCATGAATTAAAGTTTTTTGGACCCGGGAAATACAATCTAGATATGTTTTCTTGTTTGGTAGGTATTGATAATGGCTTATTCACGACGAACACTCGAATAAGGGAGTATCAAGCGAGATTTACAGCGAGTACCGAATGCCGAATGTGATGAGATGCAGAAGAATTGTCATTACTCTGAAAAGAATTAGTGTCAACGTTCGATTGTCGTGAATGCCGAGCCAAGTTTTGGAGGAATGAATGATTGAATTGATGTCAATTTCCAGGTCGCTGATTGATTTCCGTGTGGAAGAGAATGAGCCCCTTCATCGAGGACCTTGTTGCCAAGGTATCTCTTCACACATAATTTCCACTACACCACGGGTACGATTACTTCAAAATTCTTCAAAAACATCCATGATCGCATGAAGATCAAAAATTCTTGTGTAACCTCGTCCCAACTTCACTCCTCGATAATCCTTCTCCCTTGACTCTTCCGCTACAAATTCTTCCATGTATATACGATGTAGATTCTTCTCCCATGAACCCAGCGGCACTTCTCATTCCGCTACGGAGTACGTCCTTTCCAAGTTCCCACCATAATAATCAGAGCCACCCCCACCTATACAACGAACCTCCTAAATCTCTCCGAGGAAACTAATGCAGTTAATTTACAAAAAAAACTTTAATGGTTATTAATCATTCAAACCAGTCAAACCATTCGAGCATTCGTCAATGACCAGACTCATACTCTTCGAGGATATTGAAGGAAGGAAGACGATTTTGAGTCAGTGAACCTTTAGTTCCACAATCAGCTGTTTGCTAGAAAAGGCGTTCTTGGACAAGGCTTGAGTTTGGTTAGATATTGGGCTGCCACGTTTGGAATCGATGTGATGCGGCTGCAGCGCATATGTATTATGTGCAGAGTAGAAAGGAAAAAGAGAAAAAGTCTAGCTATGTACCGGCATGTATGTATGCACTCCAAACTGCACTCCAAGAAATGTAAGAAAAAAGAGATACACACTCACTTGCATCGATGACACTTAGGCCAATGATACAGAACTTGTTACACAAGCCGCAAGACCACCCGTGTCAAGACGCGTACAGACTTCAGACTAATCCTCCGCCATAATGTGATATCTTTCTTCTTGTCACTCTTGTATCACAACTTGATAGTCCTTCGGGCCGTTCGTTTGTGCAAAGTACATCAATGATTCACGGGTTTGTACATCAGGACTCTTGGCACCCCGGAATGTCCCTAGTTTTCGTGTGACATTACCAAAGTCAGGTTCAGCTCCGACTTCCGATTCTGAATTTACGGGGAAAATGTTTGGCTTTTGTGCATGAAGGTGCGATCAGGTGATTGAAAACCTGTTTGGGTACGAAATGATTTTGTTCAGTCTTGAAATGTAACTGTGGAGGTGGAGGAGAGGAGGGGGGCGGGACGGGAAACTTAAAACCCTTGGGTTCTGGATCTGTTCGTGCTCGCCGAGTACATATATCAAACCAGGCCAAATATGGACATGTTCATTGATTGATTCATTCGTTGACGAACAAGTTCCTCCTTAGCATAAACACCAACCTTAGTTTTTCAGCTTTTATCTCCAATCTAAAACGCATTCCTTCTGCACGCACCCTGCTGAACCACGCAGTCGGTAACCTTTCAGCCATACAATTTACTTCATAACCTTATTCACCACGCTATGACTGTGCCGCAATCACGCATATTTCACGTTATACTATACTATATCGTACCTACAGAGACAGTATTTCCATCTGACTAGTATGCTGAAATAGCCATGGCTTGTGCGAGGTGAGCTGCCCTGCGGCTGCCCGATAACATGGCATCTCGCATCTCATGTGCCAATCAAATGCATCCATCCCAAATATGCATCGCATGTTCGCATGCGTTTCAATCACATTATTTTACCCACGTGGATAGCAGACTACATGCCTATGTCCATGCTTACCCTTCAAAGGGGTTCTATCCAATCTAAAGCTAATTTACCAATCTTTCAGAATATTTGGTCAGATCGCACTACTTTCCGTTTCCGTTGTCACTTCTTTCCGATACCGCTATTTTGGCGTGGCCTTCGTTAGTTTCAGGATTGAGCATCTATTCTTAAAATGACATATTATTAAACGTTGAAGATGGGGGTGGTAAAGCGATGGGTGGTATGAGAAACGCTGGGGCGTAATTAGCGGCGCTGAACTAGTGTTCATCATCGTATCCTCCACCAGTATAATTCATTCGTTTATCATTCGTCGCAATGTCAATTAGTTTTCTTGCTAGATATTATTTGGCTGCCTTGTTCCCGCGTTATAGTGATATATCACATGGCTAAGTGGCTTGCTCGGCTACTCACTAGCTATCTGCATGTACGCACGAGTCATAATGCCGGTCGGGATCTCCGTGTTTATCGGGAGTTTGCTTATTTATATGTGATGAATAGGCCGAACAACGAAAGGAAATTGCTTATCTGAGTAGATATGCATGAGCCGTGGTATCTACAGTTTGACGACGTCGCTCAGAGCATCTGGTAAAAAGTGGGTAATCTGGGGTCTGAGCCTTAGGTAAATGAGTAGTATCATGGCTGAGTTCCTTGGAGAGCTTGAGTGGAAACGGCGCGGGGTCACTAGGTGCGTTTTCTAGTACCTTATTACGCATAGGTTGTTTGATGTCTTGATCAACATTCTCTACATTCGCGCGGGTGAATGAATGAGAAGGAGAAGAGAAGACCGATGTCTTGGTATAATGACGAGCTAATCTTGATTTGATTCCATCATTCAGTAGCCATTCAGGCTCTAACAACGACTCATTAATGAGCTTTAGAAGATCAGAAACATGAAATGATCGCAAATATCGTATTGAATATCTGACCATTTTAGCTCTTCACGACTTACGAGTGAGCAAGCTTTGGGATTTTCTGAATGGTTTACTAGGCCCGCGGAGAAGAAATACTCACTGTCTTTCTTATCATTATCATGGATTTCCCTTTCATCATTCTGCATTCTTGTTCCAGCACAATTGGTACTTTAGACTACTCTATACTACGCGATCAGAAAATTGAACGTCATGCAATGTTGCACGAATCAGTTTACATTATCAATATCGCCGACATGAATCATTGTGATCTGATCACTCTTTTTTATTGTTCGTTATTACTTTACTAGAACAACCGAATCAAAGCTTCTCCTCGCCGACGTCGTATTGATATCGGCGGCTGACAATGACCACGCTTAGGTCAGAATCATCAGGCACACATTACCACTCTAATATCATCTTCTTATCATCGTCAATCGTTCACTACTTTTAAATTCTCCACTCCATAGCCGTTCCTAGGACCATATCTTTATCAATCAGCCTTGGATTCCTTTTCCAGATATTTGCGGCTAGATTTTCAGTCCTGTTGAAAATCAAAACTCGATGCAAATCCATTGTCGTTGCCTCTCTACCGGAGAGCCATAACGACAATAATCTTCTTCGGATTGAAGCATGAGCTATACGCAGAAGTATATCTGTTATCAGGGAATACTCAAGACCGATTTCTGCCATTCTTCTACGTGTTCTTCGACGGGGTAGAACCTGTCAAAGATCGTAGATTAGAATTAATTGTAGTGTGAAGCTCAAGTGAAGAAGTACGCAAATTGAGGTTCCGTTGACTTTACTCATTTCAAAGATCAGTCCGATGAAGCTAGATTCCGCAAGGAATGTAGTCATATAGGGACAGGTGAGTTTGGGAGGTATCAGAAAGAGAACTAACTTTATATAGCCTCTTTTCGTGAATCAGCTGACATTTGATAGAAGCTCCTAGAACAAGTTCATTGAATCAGTTCCGCTTGCAAAATTCGGCTAATGAGTTGAGAGCAATCATCCTGCAAAAGCAAAGGCTAGTGGTTGTGTCTTCTAGCTTAAGATTTCGATACGAATCAATCATTCAGCCATCATTTTATCTAGTCTGACTATGATTTGACTAGCTTCCAATTTGAAACTGTTGTCGTACTATTTTGAAGCGAAAATTTCGCTTCACAGCCATTCGGAGTGGAGTCAAATGCAGTATTCAGCCATGTAAGATTTTGGAAATACATACAGTCGATGTATTATATACACCTGGATACATACAGCCGATGCATCATATACACTTAAATAGTCAGCTTCTGTATAAATAACATCAAAGTAACAGCTTGTAGGATCATGAAAGATCAACTATTTTGAAAAGTGCAGCTATCAAGGAGCAGAAAGAAGAGGTAACCACGAAATTATCCATGTTGAGAAACCAGCATGCTTGACTTCAGTCTAAAAGCGTGAGTTATATAAAAGATCTCTACATTCTTTCTATTGAACCTCAAGTTGATCAATCAAGATGGCGTTTTCTATCGGCTTCTTTATTTTCATCAATTATGTCAAAGGTCACTTGTTCAACGGCTTTAGAGACTAAAATTCATTCATTCACTGTTGTGGCTCACAACTATAAAGCAAATTGCATTCACATTGCTTCATTGACAACAATGAATGTAGCCTTCCTTAACACTTCTAGATCATGCATTATCATTGATGGATCTGAAGCTACCTGGAAGGAAGATTCTGTAAACTTCTGGAATGAAGATTGGTACAAAGAGGTAAGTTCGTTCGATCAAAATTCTCTCATACATACAGAATCTGCAAGAAACCTTTCGCGAGCAGCTCAAAGCGTAAGATCCCGAGCCTTCAGGAGTTATGTATATATACAGGATCATCTCCACTAGGATATTGAGATCATCAAGCTGATTCACTTTTCCCCTGCAGGTCATTAAAATTCATGGAAGATTCAATACGTTCGGATTGCATCACCAAGATCCACACCACTCCGAGCCATCAGCATTTCGAATACATATCACCATTCACAATCATCGATTCTTGTTGCACCAATTCACTGGATCACTTGTACATTTCGATTGAAGATATAAAGTTATATTGATATTCATTCATTTAGTATCATTGAATTGGTTCCAACAAGCCACAATTTATGTGTTACTTGGTACAAATTGCCGACGATGAATTTTTCCGACCTCAACACCAAAGACAATATGGGGTATATAATGCAACACAGATCCTCAACTCCTTTAAGATTGTAAAAACATGGAGTATCGAAATTTTTGACCAGAAGGTATCTCCAAAAGACATCATCACTAGCTATACCGACATTCGCCATCCACGTTATTCAAACCCCGATGTGCCAATAACCGTGTGTCCGAGTATTATTCATGAGCTGTTGCAAAACTTTTTTTTTGCAGTACTATCCATGGCTAAAAATAATTCCGCTCCCAGCGATCCAAAGGCACCTCTGATTCAATCTGGCAGTGCAGGACCCAGAGGCTACCCACTGAATGGATTGGCAGGGCGCCGACCAAAGTGAAATTGTGGCAATCCTGGGGCTACGGCATGCAGTTGACGGGCTCCCTGTGAAAGACCTTGCCTAGGAGCCGGATAGAGGCCACTTTGAGGACGATTCTGCATCAACCTTCGGGGATCACCACCAATGTTTGCGCGGGTCGCAGGTCTTGGTATTTGTGAGCCAACAAGATTGTTTGCTTGATGGTCCATTTGATAATTCCCACTGGCACTACCAACCATAGGCTGTTGAGTGCTGGTGTATTACCTTGCGGTGTTGTTCATCGCAGGTTGTGGGAGGCTCCTCTTATTGCCTCGAGGAGCGCGGCTAGGCACATCTTGTCCGGCGATTCTCGGTTTTCTCCGACGGTCATCAACTGCCGGCTGATAAATGCCAGCACCAAAATCACCATCGATAACATAAGCTGGGACCTGAGTGTTGGCGCTGTGATGGTTATTGCGACTTCCATTCAGATTCGGTTGGATGCCGCCGTTGCTGTAACCATTGTGGTGGACGCTGACTGGCAGTCTTGATTGAGCGTACGGATTAGCGGGACTTGGATGCATCGTGGAACCTTGATAACCCTGGCTCATGTTTGATTGGTCCCTGGTGCTGGTCAGTGGTTGACCACCATTCTTGGCCAGTCCACTAGGATTACCATTCATGTGCAGCTGTTGAACACGAGCGACATTGACTGGCCATGAACTACCATGACTTGGACCTCTATTAAGCCCCGAATTTGTCACAGGCAGCGCACTGTTGCCAAATCTCATGGGTGCCGAGCCAGGTGCTCTATTGCTACCAGTATTGTGGAACTGGGAAGAGGCGCGCTGATGATGGTTCGATCCCATGCCATAGTCTGGACCAACATTAGATGCTGGTAGATTCTGACGTGTTCCCCAGCCATTCGGTACCTTAGGTTGTTGCTGACTACGGTTTGCAGCAACACTTGGTGGGTTCATTCTACCCATTCCGACGACATTAGATATTGGATGACCTCTTTGGGCTCTCAATCCAGCCTGAGCTTGGTTGTGTACTTGCCTGTGAACAGGATGGCGGCTTACATCCTGACCCACTAAAACACCGACCAGACCGCCTTTTGACAAGTTATTGATATTGCCATGTTTGACGTCGCGAGTCTTACATAGCTGCCTCAGCTCTGGCACTCGTAGCTTCAGGTATTCAGACTGTCTCTCTGAGATGTAGTCTTTGAAATCTTTAGCCACAGGTTGGTTGATAATTGGCCGGCTAGTTTGGCTCGATGGTGCGGCAATTCTCGGTCTCTTGGCAGTTGGTCGCACTTCCTGCCCCATGGACTCAAAGCTCTCCAACTGCTCCGGCCCCATCTTTCTCTTGAAAGACTGTGGCACTGGTTGATGGATCTGCATAGATGAGACTTGATCCACATTCTGAGTGTGAGGGCTCCGAGGAATCCCGTGGTTCGGGGGAGGACGTGATGCATTAACCGATACTTGAGGATTATCAGGCTGAATGGAACGTATCTCTGAGCTACGTTCTCCATTCTGTTCACCAGATGATGGTTCCATTTGTATTGGCTCTTGAGCGAGTCTCAGTCGCTTTGCCTCTGGCTCCATGTCAGATTCCTCGGATTCTGAGATCTCACCACGCTCTTGTCTCTTCCTCCTCAAGCTTTCTTTGAATGCTTCGGGTCGCTTGTGAGCATTCGGCTTGGGTTCGAAAAGCTTTTCGCCATTGGCAGCACGAATTCGATTCAGATGTTGCACCTGGCTCCAGGTGCAAATGATCGACTTTCGGATGGTCGGTCTCTGTGGAGGAACTCCTCCTCTAGCGACTAATGTCGCGTCCGCTGCTCGTTCGTTCTGAATAGCGGTCTCAAAACACCCACGTGTCTGTTCTTGTGGGAAGACTTGCTTGAACTCGTCGTATGTCATTAATACTCGAGGGTCGCCATACTCAGCACGTTCGTGACTGAGACGCTTCTTAGGGCGACTGTTGTTCATTGCCGAAGAATTGTTGCCCCCAACATTCCCAGAGGTGTTTTGAGCTATGTCATTACCTATAGCATACCCGCTTCCTTGTTCAAAGTTTCCAGTCTGCATTGGCTGCATAGCGGGCTGGTAACTTTGTGCGGCGATCTGTTCCATGGCATATGGAGACGGATCCAAAAATGGGTCTGTACCATGTACATTAGCCACTTTTACTGGGTGGCTATTGTAGCTGTCAGCCAATGGAGCTTGTCCATATGGCGAGAAATTCTCCATTATAGGAGGAGAAAGAACCTCACACTGAGGGGCAACAGGTGCTACAATGTCCAGGGTCGCAGAATTATGAGACTGATAACTCTGTAATTGTGGAGCTGGATCTGCATCATCCATAAACGTGGGAAAGCTCAGTTCGTCGGGAAAAGTCTGAAACTGGTCATTGTCATATGTCAATGCCATCTCACTCCCGAAGGCAGGGATCTGGAAGTCCTCGTGAGGACGAGTAGATCCCTGACCACTATTATGATTGACAGCTGGATTTCCCTGCACGGTACCCTCCATAGCCAAGGGTTCTTGAGTATCAGACGTGAGGTCAATGGCGTCTGGGATTGACGAAGCTGGTTGAACAATATTTTGGTTACCAGAATTGTTTTCATTCGTCTTGTCAACCGATTCTGGCTCATCTTCGCCTGGTGTTGGGTTTTGCACCGAGTTATTTGGCTCCCGATACTTACCACCAGCTACGGGCTTGCTAAAAGTAGTGTATTTGCCAAAAGCCCATCGAGGCAAACGAGTGACTTTCTCAGCGGTATCGTCAGCTCTAGAAGATGAGCTTGGCACAGGCTCTGGCAACTTGGAAGGAGCTGGCCCAGAGAGTTGCGTCATGATTTTGCCAGCTTGTCCCCTACCTTTGGGTCGGCTCATATCCGATCTTGGGATTCTGCTAGCTCTGACTCTGCGGCGGCTGTTCGGAGCTTCTACCTCTTGGTTACCAGTTTGTACTGGAGCCGATGTGGCGACTTCACTTTGCTGTGAACCTATTGCAGGGGGTAGACTTGGTAGGTGGAGCCCCTGTGGGCCGGCCACCATGCGAGGAGGGACAGGAAGGTTTAGCCCTTGGGAACTAGCCACTACACGTGGGGGGTCGGGGAGGTGCAGTCCCTGAGGAGCAACCAACATCTGAGGAGGTGCAGGGAGGTGTAATCCCTGTGGATTGGCGATCGCACGTGGTGGGTCTGGAAGATATAGACCCTGAGATCTGGCCATCTTCCGAGGAGGCTTTGGAAGATGAAGCCTAGTGTGCGTTGGAACGACGGGAGCCATAGCATTGGTGCTGTCTCTCCTAAGTTCAACCTCGAGTTCCGCCGCAAGTTCCGCCTCGAAGTCATCCCCGAATGCGGGGCCAAAGAGGTCGTCGACATTATCGGTTGGTGCTTCAAGAGGTGCATTATCACCTGTGAGCGATTGGTTCTCTGGGGGCTGGAAGCTGTCACCGACACCAGAATTATCAACGTCACCAAACAAAGAATCATTGTCATTATCCGCGTTGACACCGTTTAGATCCGCATCCGGGGTAATAGGTGCAGAAGCAGCACTGTCGGCATTATGTAGTGTATCAGCCACAAACTCGGGAGTGCTGTTGGCTTCTTGTGCCATAGCCTCGGATTGGTGTTCTTCATCGAAATTTGGTGCCTCGACGTCATTGGAAGTGCTGCCGCCGAAAAGAGAATCATTGTCATCATTGTCGATATTCTCCTCTTGCTCTAGCTCGAGGGAATTTGAAGGCTGGAAGTCCGCGGCAACCGATTGAACGTTCGAATTATCTCCGGTGTTTTCATCAGTTTTGCCTTCGACAAAAATAGAGACGTCTTCAGGGATGTTGGTGTTCTCTTCCGGTTGAGACATAGGCTCGGAAGGTGTTGCAATCGGCTGCTCATTGGTACTGTCGCTTGCGATATTGATGGGAGCCTCTTCCTTTTGTCTTGACGACTGCGTAGGCTCTTCGGAGCTAGGCTCATCGACCGTTAGAGGCGCAACATCTTCATCCCCATAGAACTCTGCCTGTCTTGGATTCCATTCCAATGTGGTGGGATGAGGGGAATTCATTTCCAATCCCTCTTCCCTGAGGAAATCTTCCCAGGTGAACTGTCCATTCGCGTCGTAGGGTGTCTCTTCTAGGGAATCTACGGCGGCGGAAGCAGTTGGATTCTCATTGGATGAGAATGTCGATGAATCTTCGCCTAAGTAGCTGGCGAGTTGGGGTTCCATGTCGTCAAGATAGTTTGGGTAAGACATCTTGATCTTTGTTGTAGAAACTTGCTATGATTGAGCAAGTCAATTGGAATAAGGTTGAAGGTTGAAGAGTAAAGAAGACTCTTGGATACTCGTGGAGATGTTTTGTAGTTTGAAAGATTATTAAATGTACTAGTGGAAGTTGTTGATGGTATGCTGGTAAGTTATGCCACACTTCTTATAAAGGTTATTAGAATACTGTAAAGAACTTTCTAATGTTTTTTCGAAAAGCTGGGTCTCAACAAATCCTTAAGAATGGATGGAAGTTTACAGGAATAACGCTAGCACAATCGAAACATATTATCTACGGCTTCATATTGAACCTCCTTCATTAGGAGGTATTGCCATGGTAATGGTACTGTATACATTTAGGAAACGGTTCTCACAATAGCATTGTGGCCATTGTTCTACGCGGGTATTTATCGGTCACAGGGAAATGGCCGTATAAGCTCATATTATGGACGGCATCTGTAGGTGAGGATACTGTAGAGTTTTAGATACGGTGCTGCGCTGGCTATTGTTTCCATTGTTCAATGGGGCTGTATGTCAGACGCTGTTGGCTAGCAGGAATCGTTCAGTATCAATAAGGTTATGCACGCGGGGTAGACCCGTACTGAGTTTATTTGGAAATCGAACCCTCATTAACTTGGAGGCGATGCTTAAGTTATTGCGCCAAACATAACGAGATGGTGAGTGAGAAAGCCCTGACAATGAAATGTTTGGGTAGTTCGAATTGACATCTCGAACTTCTTGCATGTATCGTCACCAAAGAGTAGACAGGAGACAAATTATGTATTTGAGTGCATTAGCTGTTCTCTAACCCACTGATTCTGAACACCTACGCGTGTAAGTTTTCTTTCGAGTATGTCGGAATATTTTCCTGTTTATATATACAATGATATGTAATTGAACCTAGCTTCTGGTACTTTGTGTGAATTTATAAAGGCTGTAGGAAGAGATACTAGGATATTTAGGGTTATCTCAAATCACTACATTGGTGCACAATAACTTTTGCGCCAATAGAAGAACCAAATCTTATTCCTGCGCATACTTGTACAGACCATATCAATACAGTAACAAAATGAACTGTCTAAATTATTTGAAAGAAACGCTTGTAGTTCCTTGTGTTACTTTAACTCGCCTATAAAAAGAGATGTCAAGGATCAATACCTTCATTGATTCTTCGCTTATATGTTGTACAGGTTGTTTCGTCGTCTTTGACTCTCGGCAAGTTGGCTGAAAACGAGGGCAAGAAAAGTAATATACTACTCGACGATTGTTTGTCGAGATTTCCTTTCTTAAAAAATTCAAGTGATCAGATACGAGCGGATTGAGCCGGGCGCTTCTTCAATTGCGTCTCATTCCAGATCCATCTAGCACGCAAGGCCCATTCGCATACCTGCCGTACTCCTTTTCCACAACATCTTTGCGAAAAGAACGATTTCGCATCCTGAAAAATCTATATAAAACAAGAATATGATTCTTTGATGTGGATTTGGTATAATTGGTGCTCGTGCACGTCTAAGAGAATACTAGATACCCACAAGATCTTGACTTGACATAATTCTTTACGGCCGTCTCGACATTTTTACTGCGTCTTCTACACATTAATAATAAGTTAAGTATGTCTAATTCAGAGGACCTAATGTTTTATTCAAAACATCATTTTATCATAAATTTGCGTTTTCACGGGATAGCAACTGTCAATGAGGTTGCTCGTCTCGGAACGATTAAAATTCCAAGGCTTTAAGCGAGATAGGCGAGTCGCCTACAATCTAATGCGCAGAAAATGAGACGAGAGCGATAATAGATATTTAGGAAATCCAATCCATGATACCGTGCGATGAAGACTTAAAATGAGAGTTTGTCCGGCTTAAATAGTCTGGGAAATGACTTCGTTTGATAGTTGTATCTGCATGATAGCCACACAAGCTCTTCTAGCAAACAACAGACGAGTCATTCATACAAAATGACATTGTATATTAACAAACATTCCTCGTTGCTGCTCAAGGATTGATAGTACTTTAGGCTTTCAAAGCTGATGAGATCACAGGTATCGGGTTCGAAGAGGACTTGGCACATAAAAATAGATGGGAAGAACGCATTGCATGCATAAATCTAATAATTTGATGATCCTCAAATTTTTTCCAGCTTTTGGTGTAATCATTGAAATAACGTAATTTAACTTTCAGACTGTAAACATACAAGACATGTTTTATGACCACTGGCACCTAGCTAATATCAATCAGGCATTCGAATGGAGTCTAGGAGAATATTCCAAAAATATACAGGATGTATCTTGATCCTGTCAAAGGTGCACAAATCTCTTTCAGCTTTCAATCCAGTCAGGATTCCTCATACTGTAAGCAATAGATACAATTAAGCACCAACCAGATAACCAATGATTGGCCGAGGCACTTACTCTGGCGGGGCTATGGTATGGAATATCTTTGGATGACATGAGGATACTCCTTGCCTGTATCTGATATAGCCTTTCTCAGGGCGCTCCATGGGAAAGCGAGTGACGAGAATTTTGTGAACTGCTATAAATAAGTAAGAGACAAAATCGGCGGGATGTATGCGAGAGACTGCCGGGTGTCTGAAGTAAGACGGGAAATTTCAACAAAAAGCTTAGGAATGAATCTCGAAACTACACATGAAGTCTATTGACATGAATATACTGAGACTGAAGATTGTGCTGATATCCATGAAGCTAGAATCTGGAAAATCCAATCATACAATTTTCTTGCTCTACAAATTTTTAATGCAAAGTAGGGTATCAACCCAAACGCCGCCGCCAAAACAATATTTTCATGCTCTTGTTAGAAATTTATGCACTGAAAGAGGAAATGTAGTACTAGTAAAAGTTAGTGATGCCAATGCTGGTGAGGGGAATCGGTCATACCGTTAAAACAGATTCATCTCCACCATCGTCGTAATTGTCGAGGTAAACATATAAAATTAATGCATGGTCATTGACAAAACCTAGAGTCATCAGCATCAATCACCAGCTTAGAGATCTTCAATACCCACATGCAATTACCCTTCCACCAAGTCTTCCAACACTGAGTACCCTTCCCCAATCTCTTCCATCTATTCTAACAGTTGACCAAGCATCTGGACCAGCAGCTTTAAGTCTTGTAGCTGGATGATTTTGAATTTCATCATCACCATCCTCCAATTGTCTTGGGTCCAATTCCGGATTATTGAGACCAGTCCAAACACTTGAGATATTCAATGCATCGGTGGCAATACTCAACCTTAGACTTCCATGCATATTTGCACTCAATTCCAACTTAGGTATGTTTCCCCCGCTTACTCCCCTAGTTCCGCCGGATGCAGTGGCCATTGCAAGTTTTGTAAAACGTTCCGAGATAGCTTTCAATTGTATCAAAGAAGGTAACATAATATGCGCATCTGGATCCCTAACTCTTGGTTCATGTATTCCCTCGACACTGTCGGCCGTCAAAATACGTATTGGGATATCTTGCCTAACAATGGCTTCTCTATCCCTTCTCATATTCGCATCAAGACTCTCTTCCCGGAAACCTTCTCCAAATGGGTCTGCTTGTGCACCTTCGCCACCAAGAAAGTTTGCACTTTTTCCATGCATCATTGTATTCGTAATAACAGTGAGTGATAAGACTGGCATGTCATCTCGTTTTGTAAGACGTATCGAAGCAGAAGACGCGTTAATTGCGGATTTAAGAGCGCGATGGAGGGGTGGGAGGGGTAGTTCTATATTGATTGTATTATCTGGAGCGGCGGATTGAATTGTGTAGTCTTCAAAGATAGAATCGATCGCGAGGGACCTTCTCAAGGTCAGCATTGCAACTCAGACTATAAATGAGGCAATACATACGCCCATACTTGAGTTCCTGTCTCAGGAATAATTGTGAATCGTACTCCATTGTCGTCAAGACGCACCCAAGCTACTTTACCAAGTGATGACAACGACGCTGTGAGTTCTATGGTTTCGTAAGCTAACAATTTCTCTGAATGTAACTTGAGACATTTTACTTACTGCTAAACGTTTGAATATTCCTAACAGAAGTCTTGAATCGCATTCTGAATATTTGAAGCTCACTGTTGCCTTCAACATTTTTGGAAGTTTGATAAGGAAGGACCGGATAAGAAATATGCTTACTAATCATCTCAACTACATCACCAGATTCATCGTTTGCGCAGATGTTTCCTTCCATCCTACAAGATTTATTCGTCTCATATTGATCAAAGGGGAGCCACTATTTATTGAAAAAGCAATTTTATTTATCTTGTGAAACTACTTGCAACCAGGCCGGCTGAGTAAACAGTCGATGTTGACTTCGAATTCACAAGATTTTCGCTATCTACCTAAGTCTTCGGATGCCATATTGCCCTTCGACGTTATACCGTTTAGATAGATGAAAAAGTAAAAGTCGGGGAGACCCCAACCATAAAGACTTGTCAACTACTATTCGAGTATAGCTTCCCAGTTCGCCAATTTCATAACCATGAACCTTTCCTAATACCATAGTATCTTCTATTACCCCACGTTTCCCACACATCGATCCACCAGCTCCTTCAATATCTGCCCCGTTTAAATTTGTCCATTCTCAGACCTTGACTCTGCCCAGAGTCTGTTGGTAACTCCCGGGCTGGCTACACCAGGAGAGGACAATCTACTGCCACTTGGGACAAATTGTCTAGCCTCGAACCAGCGGCGACCCGGGTTGGCGATTGGAGTAGACGTACGTGAACCAGAGCCAGAAGAGAGTCCAGATTGTCCTTGGATGGTGTATCCGACATACTTCAATTCATTTGTAGACGATGTTCTTGCCATAGGACCGACTACACCAAGAGCAGAGAAGGAAAGGCCAGGGGAGCTTCTAGCTGTAGAGTTTGGGTTGTTATTATTGTTTGGTGATTCTGGCGAAAAGGCACCAGCGCTTGTAGAGCTTCTTGCCTCAGCAATTGCAAATCCGGAATTTCCTGTGGCTAAACGACGTAGATCTGTACCAGAT